CCTTTTCTCTTTGAGGGTTTGCTGGAATTTTGAGGTTTTATGGCACCTCTGCTGTCCTTGCCATCTCATCCTCTCTTTTCCTTCCTTGCTTTTGGCCTCAGCAGCTGTAGATCCCCAAAATCCTTGTGAAAGCTTCACCCAAGCCAAGTGGGAGCATTCCCACATTCCTTAGGGATTGATATAATTGATAGAAACTTCAAATTTGGTGGATTGTGTGGGGATATTCCTGAGCAAATGGTTAAAATAAGGAAAAAGTGAGGGAGCAGAAGTTTGCTTTCCCTGTTACTATTTTTATTTTCCTTTTACTGGGTGGTCACAGGAAAAATTCTCCTTCCCAGAGTTTTCTTTCCCTCTTACCCTGATTTTAGGGCAAAGGTTTGAGCTCCCCCTTCCTCCTGGCTCCTTTGGATGGGGGAAATGAGGAGGTTTCTTAGGAATATTCTGTTCCCTCCCTGTTTTCTGCCAGTTGGCATCTCTGCAGCCTCTCCACTGCTGCATATTTGGGGACGCAGGAGATTTCTCCTGTCCTTTGAGGTTTGCTGCTGTTTGCTCGGATTTCTGTCAGCTCCTCTGGGCAAAACCACCCGGATTTCATTGGGAAAAGCCAACACGGAGCTGATCTGCCTCTGGCTGTGTTTGCTTGGGAAGGAGCAGCCTTGGGTTCATCGGGATCAGCCGTGTTTTGTCTGGGAATTGCAGCAAACAGAATGGTTTGGGATTTTATTTGCATTCTGCACATCCAGCCCCGTGGAGTGCTCCAGGGTGGCATTTTTATCCCGATCCAGCTGTTTGCAGCTGTTTTCCTGCTGCTTGGGCTCCCAGATGTGCTCAACAGCTGCATCCAGCCCCAGCTGTGGCTCCATGGAGCTCGCTGGGAGCGTGGCAGATGCCTCAGGGGCCTTTCGGAGGTGGCTCCTCCAAGCTGGATTCCTGGAGAAATTCCCTCGGGTGATTTTGCAGCTCCCGGGATCCCTCAGGAATGGCTGGGGAGGGATCCCAGCCTTGGTGGCCCTTTCTTGGGATGGGCACCTGCCAAACATCCAGGGATTTACTGATGTGGCTTGGGATTGGACTGTTAACTCCAAATGCCATTCCCAGCTCCCAAAGTTTGGAAAAACCCCAAATTCCTGCTCTGCTGAGTCACCTTCCACAGGGATCCTGCCCCGAGGTGATTCCTGCCTTAGGAGAGGGCATTTGAATGCCCCCAACTCCTCAGATTAATTGGAGGATGGATATTCCTGAGCCAGGCTCCAAGGAATTAAACAAAATCCACGTGGTGGATTCCCACAAGGATTTCAGCACCTGATTCCAGCCTCCAAACCATCCAGAGCAGCTGTAGGCAGGGAAAAGGGGAGGAACAAACATTTCCTTGAAGAAGTGTCTGATCCAGAGCATGGACCCAGCTCCAGAAGAATTCCTTCTGTGGGATGAGCCCTCGGGAATCCCAGAATTTAGATTTTGCCTTTGGATTTGGGCTCTCTTTTGGCTCAGTTCCTTCCCTGGAAAAGATGGATCTGCTGATTCATCCCCATGAGGGTTGGGAACCTGAAAACACCAAGATCATGGAATGGTTTGGGTGGGAAGGGACCTTAAACCCATCCAGTTCCAATCCCAGCACCTTCCACTGTCCCAGGCTGCTCCAAGCCCCATCCAGCCTGGCCTTGGACACTTCCAGGGATCAAAGGCAGCCACAGCTGCTCCTGGGAATCCCTTCCAGGGCCTCCCCACCCTCCCAGGGAAGATCGAAGGGATACTTTGGAACTGGAAATTGGCTTTTTTCCTGTTCTTTAACCCATCTGGGATCTGGGTCTGCTCTGGGATTTCCCCTGGCACTGCTGCTCCACACTCCACGTGTCCAGCTGATGGAAAGCAGGAGGTGGAATGACATCATCCCACCCTGCAGGAGTTTAATCCCACTTGACAGGAGCAAACCTTTCCCTTTTCCTTTTGTTTTTCCTTCCTTTTCTGTTTACACAGAATCCTTGTCCTTTTCCAGAATGGAAAGAAAAAAAAAAAGGATTAAACCAGCTTGGAAAGTCCTAAAAGAGCCTCACTGTCACTTCTCCAGCTTTTATTTCTCTCTGGCTTCAGCTCCATCCTTTTCCAATTGCATCCTCTTTATTCCCCATCTTTGATTAGAATCAGGATCTTTTCCAAATCACATTTGGGGTTTTAATAACCCCAAATGCATCCTCTGAGCACAGGAAAACAGAAATCCATGTGGGAAGATCCTGGGTGAGTCCTGGGCTATTGGGAGCCTGATGTTCCATGCTGCTGGGCATGGGGTGAGGGGTGCAAAAACAGGTGGAAAAGGGAATTCTCTTCCTTGGAAACTTTCTGTATCTTTTTGGGGGAAAAAAAGGTGGAATTGGCTCTAGAGAGCTTCCCCAATCCTGGAAGTGTCCAAGGCCAGGCTGGATGGGGCTTGGAGCACCCTGGAATGTGTCCCAGGGGTGGGATGGGATGATCCTTAAGGTCCCTTCCAACCCAAAGCATTCCGTGGTTCTCTCAGGAGGGAATAACAGTGCACTTGAGGAAACAGATTTTGATTCCCAAAAGTTTATTGGGAAAGGGGAAATTTTTATTTTCATGCCAGAAATGTAAATTATTACATTTTTTGCTATAATTCTGTGAAGAGTGCTGAAATTCTTCCCATCAACTTTTAATTAAAATTTTGACAAGAAAAACCAATTTTTCAATGGAATATTCTCCGTTTAAAACCATTTGCTCACCCTGAGGGTGTCCATAAAGCTTCCTGTTAAAATGTTATCAGCTCTGGGAAAACTTCCCATTATTCCTTCAGTATTCCCTTCTCCTGGAGCTGGATGTTGTTTGTTGGGAATTTGGATGTGTTTTTTCCCCCATCACCACTGAATGAATAATCCAAGGCTTTGTCTGAGCTGCCTAAATGTGGAGCAGGCTCAGGTTTTGTCTTACGGAGCAGATTCCCACCAGGAATGATGGGATGCTGGAAGAGGGATCTGATTTCTTTCCATGGGGCCCTGAAACTGTGCCAGCCCCTCCTGCTTTGGGTCAGGGCTGTTTATGGGCTGCAGCAGAATCTCTTTTTCTTCCAGACTTTCCTGAGATCTCTTCCCACCTGGAATTCTGAGCCACAGGAAGGCCATAAAATGTCTGCTCCTGTAGCTCTGCCCAGACCTCCATGGTTTGTAACGGGACCTTTTCCCCAATAATTCAAATTTCCACCACTTGTGGTCACGGTGGGATTTGCCCACAGGACCCAGGAGCTGTTTTTTATTCCCTGGATAAATTGTTCTGCCCATCCCTGAGCTTTTCCCAAATCCTTGGCACGGCCACGGCTCCATCTTTTCTCTGGGAAATCTTTCTGCTGCTCATCCCTGTGTGGTTGGGAGCACACAGGACTGACAGCTTCAAAGGGAGCTGGATCATCCTCCAGGAAAGCCAGAGCTCTGGAGCACATCCACAAAACTCTTGGATACCCCTGAGGTCTCAGCACAGCCCCCCAGGCCTTGGCTGTGCTCCCACGGAACTGGGAATGCCACGGGCTGGATCGTGGTTGGTGTTCCGGACACCTCCATCCCAAACCTGTGCAGCCTCTCTGGATTCCAGCCTGGATAACGCTCCCCAGGAAATCTCTTCTTCTGGATTCCTAGAGAGGGGGAGAAGTTTCCAAGCTCCCAAGCTCAGCGGGGTTTTCTCACCTCCAAAAAATGCCTGGAGTTGAAATGTTGGCGATAAAAGATTTTCAGGGCGTGGGTCCCTCTCCTGAACTCCCTGCTCATCCCATGGAGCTGTGTCCAAAGAAAAATGTGGAGTTTTGAGCAGGGGAAAAAGAAGCATTTTGCAAGGAACCAAGCAGGGAGAGGGAGCTGCTGCTGTCTTCTTCCAGCTGATCCATTTGTGCCGAATTCCCAAACATTTCTGAAGGAGAACCACCCAGAAAAGGTGGGAAGAGCTCAGCATGTGAACAAATGGTTCTTTGATCTGTGTGTCTTTAATCAAACTGGCATTGTGGCATCTCCAAAACCTCTTCCTGGGCACAGGAATGGGATTTTCCCCACAAATTCTGTGGAGGAAAGCCGGGGCAGGGCTGGGTTGGTGTTGGGCTGCAGGGCTGGGCATGGTGGGGCTCAAAGCCTGGCAGGAATTGAGTTTTTAGCTCTTTTTTAGCTCTTTTTGCCATAATCTAAACCTGGATGCAGTGCAGAATTCCATCTGTGCCTGCTGCATGGAGCAGGGAGGGAGCACATCTGGCCAGATGTGATCTGGGAAAGGGTTTGCAGTGCAAGCCCAGCCGTGAGACCCAAAATGTCCCAAAATTCTGCTTGGAAACAGCCCAGGATCTCTCCCCTTCCTCCTGTTATGGCCAGAATCCCTACAGATGGATTTTCAGGGAAGGGTTTTCAGTGTGGAACAGGGAGAATTAGGGAGAAAAGTTACTCTGAGCTTTGAGCTCCGCTTTGGGTTAACTGTGTGGTGAATGAAATGTCCAATGTCTCCAAATGTCTCTTTGGGGACCTGGAGGGAACCTTTGCAAGGAAAATGGGAATTTCTGAACTTGGCAGCATGAGGATTATTAGGAATCCTGGATAATGGAAATATGCTGGTCACCAAATAATTTAATTTATCAATCACTGGGTAACATTAATCAGTGTTCAGTGTAAATCTCTGTCCTGTCGCTTCCACACGTCCTTTCAGATTGGCTTTGAATTTGACTTTTTCCATTGGATTCACTGGAAAAACACATTTTCCCAGGTGCCAGACAGCTTTTCTTTCTGCATGAGGAGGTGATTTTTTAATTTTTTTTTTTAAAGGATAATTCCATTTTTTTAATAGGCTGTAGTGCTTTAAGTGAAGAATTGAGTGGTGGAAGGTGTCCCTGCTCCTGGCAGGGGGTTGGAATGAGCTGAGCTTTGCTCCCTTCCAACCCAAACCATTCCACGATTCTGTGGAGGTGAGGTCATAAAAAGAGCCTGGACTTTGATCTCGTTACATTTGGCTGGAATCTGTGAATCACGAGGAGGTTAAACTTTGCCAGAGCCATCCCGAGCCTCTGGAGCCAGGGCTGGTGGTGACACTGGGAGGGGGCAGAGATGGACCTGCCAGGGCTGGGCTTCCTCAAATGCCGTGGCACGAGGATTTGAGGATCTCACCAGGCTTGTGTGACACCAAATTGCTGCCCCAGGGGCGTTGGAGGTGACTTTTGGAGCGGCCCCTGCCCTCATCCCGCTCTCCTCCAGCACATCCATACCGTGTCCACCCCACTCAGATGTTCCCCTCCTGTCCTGCCAAATTTCCAGCTGCTGCAAATGAATGTTTAAGTTGCTCTGAGCTCATTGTCGAGGCAAACAGCTGGCGCTGCTGGAATATAGGTTTGGATGGGGTTCCTTGGGATGGGAATGTCATTAATGCCTTCGTGTGAAACGAAATGAAATTCCTCCCGCAGGATTTCAGCGCTCTGAGTTCAAGGGAAACGGGAAAAAACCCTTTTTTGTGGAGCTCTCAAGGTTTAGCTCCCACCAGGGGCGAGTGGCTTTGTGTCCTGGGCATTCCGAGTGCCTGAAAATCCTCCCGAAATTCCAATTTCCTGCTCTTTATTGCTCGGGGAACATTCAGCCTAATTGGGGTAAGGCAGAGTTAAGGTGATGATGATGATGGAGCTGCTGGGATCGCAGCTTTGCTGGGAGTTTCCTTCCCACGTGTGAAAATGAGGCATTTCCCGGTGTCTCCTGGGCTGTCAGCGGGCTCCAAGAGCTGGAATGAGTTGGGATAAACCTCGGGATCGCTTTCTCTTTCCTCTCCTCCTGCAGGGAGCAGTGGAAGGGGAATTGCACCAGGAGGAAGAATCCTCTCCTGGTTGCAGCCAGAAGGTGGAATCCGCATCTCCAAACTCTTTTCAACCCTGGGCACGTTGTTCACCATGACCAAAATGCTTTCCCTCAAATGCAGGTGCCGACTCTTGGGTGCATCCCCAGCACCTCCCCCTCAGCAGGGAGAGTCCAAGGTGGGAATTGTGCTGGCAGGATGGGCCCTGGGGTGTTCAAAAAACAAAAGTGGGGGAGATAAGGAAGGCAAAGGCCACCTTGCCTTGTTTCCAGCAGCCCTGACTGCGTTGTCTCTCCGCTGAACATCCTGCTCGGCAGCTGAGCCCTCTCCCCAGGGCTTTTCCACACCCCCTCTCCTTCCTGCAGGAGAACGTGGCTCTGCAGATGGAGGTTGTTTGCTTTGTGGTTACGGATCCGAGGAGAAAATAAAAAGGGAGGGGGAAAATAAATAAAATTCCCAACTTTTCCCCATTTTTTTAGGTTTAGTGGGTGGAGTCACTCGTCTTGGGTTTCACCAAGCTCCAGGGCTGGGATGGGAGCTGAGCTCCCAGTATGGGATCCCAGACTGGATTGGGTGGGAAGGGGCCTTAAAGCTCCTCCAGTTCCATCCCCTGCCATGGGTTATTCCAGGTTGCTCCAAGCCAGGAGCTCTTCCAGGGATGGGGAATCCCCAGCTGTGAGCGCTCAGGTGTGGGGATGGCAGGGAGGAACTGGGAGATGATTCCAAGGGAGGAATTGCTCTCCATGACCTTCCCTGTGCAGCCCCCAGGGCTGGCAGTGCTGCCTCCAAGGATAATGTCCTTGATGAGGATTTTTAGGATGGGGAAGAGCAGGATAAGCAGGATCGTGGTGTGGAGGCTTCCAAACTAACCCTGAATATCCATTTCCTGACAAATGAGTGGTCTCAGGCCCTCGGAGCCTGTTGTTGATCCATGTTTGGATTTGGCACTCAGGGATTGCAGCACCTGGAGATGCTGCCCGAACAGCACGGAGCATCCAGAGGCTCAGGAAGGCTGGGAAGGAGCAGCCAACAGTGCCAGCCTTGTCTTTTCTTCTCCTCATCCCTCCTGGCACAACTTTCCAGCAGGGGAAGGGGATGTGGAATTCCAGCAGGGGAAGGGGATGTGGAATTCCATCTCTCCACGCTGGAAGTGCTCCTTTGGGAATGGGATGAACGGCAGAGCTTGGAACAGCCAGGGAGTGTTTGTAGGATGACACAGTTAACGACTGCCCCGCTAATTTTATGGATGTGCTGAAGTTCAGGATGTCCATTGGAGCCGGGGTGGGAAGTGGGCGAGTGGAGATGTTGTCAGGAGCGTGGGGCTCCCTCCAGGACCACCCAGGAATGCTCCATCTTCCGGCAGATGTAGCTGGAGATTCCCACTGCTGCCAGTGGCCACAGCTCTGCGTGAGGATGAGTGGGCAGCAGGGAGCAATCCCAGGGGCCGGAGCTTCCGGATCGCCCCTGCTCACGTCAGAGGGATGCGGGGTGGGGAATGGGGAGCGGGGATGCTGGGATAAATAGGGATGGAGCCCGGACACTGCCGTGGGAGCTGCGGTGAGAGCAGAGGTGCTGCTGCCATGAGCCTGGAGAGGGATCTGGGAGAGATCTCCAGGAGAATCCCATGGGATCCCATCGCTGTGAGGGAATCTGGAGGAGCTGACCTTCCAGGTGAGCGTCCTTCCCCAGCTTGCTGCTTGTTTCCAAGCCCTGCCAGCCACGTGGAGCTGGAATTCCTCAGGAAGAAGCTTGGGGTGAGCCCTGGGATGGTTCACTGTGGAGCTTTCCCTGTCCAGTGCTCTCCCCATCCCACCCATTCCTCCTAAAAGGAGAGCTCACCCTCCTTCCTCCCATCCAGGGATCTCCGAGGCCATTCCTGAAGGGAACGGGCAGTGAGGGGAGTTGGGATGGGATTGGCACTTTGCTGGCTTGGCCTTGGTTGGTTTGTTTGTTTGCTCCGAATGGTTTTCCTCTGGTTCCAGCTGGAGCCTTGCCCCGAGCTCCAGGGGGTGTTTTTGGGGAATCAAAGGACCTTTATGCTGTGAAATGCAAATGGGAGGGTGCAGTGCACGGCAGGCTGAGGGCTCTGTGAGTTTTTATATTTATATTTCTAAAAGCCCTCTTATTTCCTCGGAATTCTGCGGCCGTGCTGCTGTAACAAAGTGAGCTCTGATTCAATTTGTGGTTCTCATCCAACCTGCAAACAAGGCTGAACTTCTGGAAGTGCTTTAAAACCCATCAATTCCGGCAGGCTTTTCCTCTCAGAACTCATTACAGCATTCTCCTCCCTCGTTTCTTCCTGAGTCACTGTCAAGTATCCTGCCCTGGGATACATCTCGGAGGTGAAATCCCTGGAATTCTGCATGGCTTTCACCACAGGATTCCTGCTTTGTCGCACTAAATGAATCTACTCAAACCCCTGGCTCATTGGGGATTTTTATTTCAGTTGTTTTAACTGATTTTACGTTTTTCACGTCCCTTTTGTTTCCCATCTCTCACCTTTGCGGAGGTAAAGTCGTGTGCAGCGTCATCATTGCTGGAATGAGCTTGAAGGTTCGTTATGGCTGAAGGAAAATGAGCTGGGCTTTCTCCTCTGATTTGTTATTGCTCCTGTCTTGGCTTTAAAAGAAATCAGTTGGGGAAATTTAACAAAAGCTGGGGATCTGGGGCTCTGTTTTAGTCTGGGGTGCTGTGTGAGGCAGGGCAGGAGCTGCAATCCCAAGGATGAGTTGGAGAAATCCTTCCCTGTGAGGGTGGAGAGAGTCTGGAATGGGAGCTGCTGGCTGGAACCGGGAAATTGGGAATTCCTGGCTGAAAAACCAAAGCAGACTGGTAAGGGATGGATGGCTGCGGTGGGAGCCACGGAGAGCTCCTGTTGGGAGCAGTGGGATGCTGAGGAGCAGATGCAGCCAAGATGCTGCTCAGGCCCTCAGACAAAGCCACATTTTCCCAATCCATTTCCCTCCCCTCTGGCAAGAAGGGCCCTTGACTGGAAGTGAGCAATGCCAGGGATCTTCCTGAGGGATGTTGTGTCTGCAGACAGAGGCTGGGAGTGCAGAGCTTTCCCAACAAGCTGTTGTTTTCCCACAGCGAGTTTTGTTTTGGTCTCCCTGTTCCTGGTAGCTCGCGAGCTGTTTGCTGGATTTAGCAGCAAGTCCGATAAAATCTGGGTGGGTTGGAGAAAGTCTGAGGGATTCTCCCTCCTTGGGAAAAGGCCTGGCTCGGATTCAGGTGCTGTTTTTATCCCAAATGGAAAGGTACCTGTGTCCCAGCCCAAACTGCCACAGCCCCTCACGTTCTCTGCGTCCCAGGGTTGCACAAAACGCTGCCCTCCTGGGGCTTTCCTTTGAGGGAAAACCTCCCACCAGAAAATCCCTCAAAAGGTTCTCTGGGTTGGGATGAAATGTCCCAGCCTTGCAGCTCTGAAATCTGCTGGGAAAGGGGGAAACAGAGCTGGTGACCTCCTGATTCAGCTGGGTGGGAGGGAATGGGAAGGAGCGATGATCCCGGAGTGTGGAATCCTTCTGAGGCAGGATCCCTCCAAGCACTCATGGCTGGAAGTTCCTCAGAGTTGGATTTATCACCTTTGAACTTTCCTTTTTAATCAGAACCTCCCAGTCCTCTCCTCCACCCTGGCAGACTGGAGAAGCAGCTCCTTTTTGCTCCATCCAGTGTTTAAATCCCTTTTTTTGGTGTGTGGAGAGGAGGATTTTGTCTGGGTTTGGGAGGAAATTTGGAGACCCTTTGCCTGAGGAGATGCTGGAATCCTGAGTCATCCAGAGCATCCCAAGGACTCCGTGTGCTTGCCTGGAGCTCCATCCTAGCTCTGAGTTATGGCTTGGAGTTACAGCTCTAAGTTTTAGCAGATGGATTCATCCTGCTCGGGTCCCAGAGCAATAAACACAACAAATAATTCATGGATGCACCAAGTCCCCAGGGTCCTCCTAAAGCCCTTAATCACTGCCTGGGGCTTTTCTCCCTCCATGCTAATGAGCCTTTCTGTCTTCCATGGATATTTCTCCTCTGCAAGGGTGCTTTAACTCAAGAATTCTGGATTTAAAGCGAGACAGAGTCAGGCTTTGAGGCCGCAGAGCAAGCGCTGCTCCTGTCCCAAAAAACTTCTCGGGAAATCTGAAAAGGATTTTTCTCAGCAGCTGTTTGTGTCTCCAGGGGTGAAATTAGGTGACCTATATTCCATGGAAGGGCTGCAGGACAGGGCTCATCCCGAGGCAGGAATTTCACTCCTGATGAATAATAATCAAATCAAAAAGGAGGAAACCACATCTGACTCTTGATCCCACTCGGACTCTGCCCGTTCCGAGGAGCCAGCGTGACTAATGGGATTGCTCCAGGGCAAGCTGGATGTTTCACTGGAGTAAAAATAAAATCCAGAAGCCCAGACTGATGTGTGTGACGTGAGTCATCCTCAGGCTTCTGCAGCTCCAGCCCTGCTCCGTGGGATCAGACAGCAGATCCCTGCTGAGCTCCGTGCCAGGGGCAGGAAGGGCACGGAAAGTTCTGGAAAAATAACCGGGAGGTGACTCTGGCGTGCTTGGATCTGCTCTGACTCCGTGGCTGGAATATTGAGGTGCTATCCAGATTTTGGCACGGAGGGCAGAGCACCTCGCTGTGATCCCAGTTTTGGGGTTTTCCAGCTGGGATTGCTCCTTGCAGAGCCACTGGCGCCGTGTGGCATTCCCACCTTTCCAGGAGGTGCTGGGGCTTGGGGCAAGCTGGGATAGGGATGGTCCCTGCCCATGGAGCTGGATGAGCTTTGAGGCCTGTCCCAACCCAAACCATTCCATGGTGGCCGCTGGAATGGCCCGAGGGACCTGGGGTGACCAAAGGCTGATGGCTTTGCAGGGAATTGTGGAATTGTTCAGTGGGGCTTGCACTGGGAATGGGAAGGGAAGCGTTTCCCTCTCTCCGTGAGCAGCAATGGCTGATGGAAGCACAGAGGCACCTCCAAGACCTCGACTCATTCTCCAGAGGTGTCCTGGTTTCGCTCCAGGAAGGATTTCACCCAAAATAGACCCAAATCTGGCTCCAAACGGAGCAGGAGCCGTCCCAAGCTGAAGCTTTGAAGGCGCTCAGGTCATTTCACACTTGGGGGTGAGAACTGCGCCAAAGAAGGGAAAATATCCCAGATTTCCACCCAAAAGCAGGCAGGAGTTGAGATCTTGGACTGTGCTGGGATTGAGTCATTGAGTTGGGCTCCAGGAGGAATTAGCTGGAATGGAAATCAGCACAAACCAAACTGGATGAAGGCACGGGGAAGATGCCAAAAGTCGGAAAAGGTGTCAAGGTTTGAAGGGGTTGGGCTGAATTCCTGCTGGGATGGGGCCTCCCCTCCAGGAGGGACAGGGACAGTGACCTTGAGGGGCTGCTCTGGAGTGACACAATAAAATGTTCATAGGGAACACAATTATC